GAAAGAGTAGTCAAGCATTGGAAGAGGCTGCCCAGAGAGGTCAGGGAGTCACCATCCCTAGAAGCGTTCAAAAAACGGGTAGACGTAGTACTTTGGGACATGGTTTAGTCTAGTCTACCCTTGATTGGTTTAGTGTGGACTTGGTAATGTTAGGCTAATGGTTGGACTGGATGATCTTAAAGGTCTTTTCCAACCTAAACAATTCTATGATTCTATAATGCAAAAAAGAGATGCAAAGTAGTAATAGCACGAGGTCATTCCATGAAGGACTGAAGTCATGAAACACAGTTTCCAGCTGACTGATTAAATCCCATCCACTGCAGTAACCTCAGCTCCTTCCTGCTCCAAATATCACCACTGCTCCCCACCTCCTATGCGGGTATCGTTATTTCCATTCAGGCAAGAGACAGGAGCTCAGGGACTTGGCTCCACACAGGTACATGCTGGTTGGCCTGCCAGTGCATCCCTGCCAGCTGGCCAGCAAACCTTTGCCATCACACTGCCAGCTCAGCCAGGAGCTAAAGCAACTCACCCTCCAGTGCATAGCCACTGCCTTTTATGAAGGTAGGAGGAATATAACACCCTGGAGGTTTTTTGCCCTTCTGTAGAACTTATTTGACATTGAACGGGTTAAAAAATTAAGGTGGAAGCAAACAGTGCAGCCACATAAGTTTATTTTCTTTAGGAACACTAATGTCAAAAGTAAGCACTGTAACACTGCAACATTTCTGGCAATAATATACATTTATATTCTCTGCCTAGAGATGACTCACAACATTACCTGACAAGCATCAGCTTTGCTATCGAAGTAGCCAGCACAGAACATATTTTCAGTGATTTCTGTTCCATAAATTTCAGGGCTTCTGCACTTGTCCTCAGGAATAATTGGAATCAGTGTTTCTTGCAGGACATTTGAATAACCAGATATATCTTTAAAAAATTCCCAGAGAGGAAAAGAAGGTAATTTTTATAGAATGTGAAGAGCATAACATGGAAACACAATGCACACAATACAATATATAAACACACTTAACACATCTGTCATATTCGTGCTGTGGACCTCTTTAAAATATAATAATTTTTCTAGTGATCAGATCACTTTCTGCTCCTCCAGTCAGACTCCATGCCCTTTAAAATAACAGTATGCCATGTCCAGACATTAATCCACTTTGGGTTCTCTCATTTCATAGAGACTCAGGAACACTCCCCCAGCACTGTCCTCTTTCCAAATGTGATATTAAATCATCAATTTATCAAAGGTTCCATTACCTCTTTTTGCCTTTAGACCACACATTTAAACCAGGACAACATTTGCTTATACTAAATCTCTTACCAAAATGAGGCAGCCAGCTCCCCCATCCTTCTCATCTATCTACATAGGTCTCTGTTATCTCGACCGCCAAAGCAGCATGGCCAAGCCTCATAATCCTGAAATTCCTCATCTGAAAGGATGGAATGGGTTTGTCCACCTTTCTCAAGCTGGGTGTAAGCACTTCTTAGCCCAAAGTCCATCTGGCCCTGTCCTGTAGATGTTTCCAAAGTTTCTTGCTGGTGAAGGTAAAGATCTTGTCCATAACAGACCAGTAAGTTGATTGTGTTTGGTTTACAATCTTTGATATCCACCTTGAGAAACCAGGGGTATGATTCACTCAACTAAGGTGTCAAGTTGTCAGCAACTACAACCAAGCTACTTGCTCCCCTCCCAGTCCACGGAGATCTAGCTAGCTCATAGCTCATCTCATCCTAAAATAGACACAAACATTTGGCCAAGAGAACCCATTCCAAATTCCAAGGACTATAAAGGAAGTTCAGGATGACTATTTCAGATGTAAATGTTGTAAACATCTAAAAGCAGGTAAAAAGAATCCAACCAGAAGTCCCTTGGAAAATATTTTACCAAACTATGAGTTGTATAACACATACTTGAGCATTACGTTTTAATTATCATCAGCTTTTTCTACAGATGCCAACTCTCATTTTACTCACTCTCATGCCTGTGTCCCCATCCAGAAATCTGACATTTGAACTGAGCAGGGAAAATGGTGTCACTTTCCGGCAAGCAGATGGGCTGAACAAACTGGGACTTGACAGCACAACGTTGGCCATTCTTCTTCAGCTTTATCAAAACTGCAGAACAGAAAATATAGGAGGAATAAAGTGACTGTTCCTTTTCTTTAATAGGATTGGCAGCAATGGGTCTCAGATACAACTTTAATTATCCCCTAAGCCTCTCTTAATTAAGATATTTCAATCAAAGACAGACAGACTCATCTCAACAGCACCTGATTTCACAGCAAATTGAAGGCTGAAACATTCAGCTACTCCCCTTGTGGGAATATTTATTTTATGCTGTGCTCACCGAGCAGATTTTGCTTCACTGCCTTTGTAGAGAAGGGGGAAGATAGAAAATACATATGTCTCCTCCCACCTTGAAGTTAAATAACAGTGACATATCTACAACTTTCAGCTGAAATAAGTGGGATGTGCAAGTGCTCACTGCTTCTGAAAGTCTGGCCACCTGCCTAATCGCAATTTGATTTAAAAAATTAATTACTGCAAGAGATGGTGTATTTTGTGCTCTGTGTTATCACTGAGTTCAGCAAAATTCAAGATCTTGAAAATTAAGGAAAAAAAATCAGGATATTTCAAAACCAAGCTTCTGAGAGCTACAAAGAATTACACAACCTATACAACCTTTACTATCCCCTCATAGGGCTGAAAACAGTGTAGATGAGCTTGATGCTAAAAGAAGTTGTCAAAAGTAGCAGAAACTTTGGTTCCCCTGTAGCAAACCCCCTGTCTTTGGCTGTAGAGCAACAGAGGGGGCTTTGTGCTTGGTGTAACAAGGGCAGCGTGTTGGGTTTGAGCACGCTACTCGAAGAGGACAGAGCTGACATAATGTGAACACAGCTATTAAAGCTTCACATCATGCCTATTGGAAGCTCCAGGTTTTCTGAGCACAGCTGTGTGGAAAGCATGAGATCCCACTGGATAGTCCTCTTCCTCTACTGACTACATTTTTTGGCCTTTGTGAAACATGTATAAAACATCTTGCAGGCTGAGAAGCCCACACAAACCGCACTCCAACACTCAGCAGCTTGCTCTTCTTCGCCTTCCTCCTCTTCCCCACCAACACTGCCTGTTCATGAATCCCCTGAACTTCCCAGCAAACACTCATATGGTAGTTTGTTTTAGAAAAGCATTTTCAGTGGGAAATAACTCTTCTGCTTCATCAGTAGAAATCACCAACAGGGCAGAATGTCCCCCACATCTCCCCCCCCCCCCCCCAGTTTCTGCCTGCTTGATTGTTTGCAGTGGGGCACATCTTAGGAACTCCATGTTCAGCTGACCCTAGATTTGGACATTGCACATCAGTGAGGCATGCCAAATTTCAGAGTAATTCATGAAGTTAGGAGATCTTAAAGTGCCAACAGTGGTTTACACCAGGATATTTCAGAGCAGATTAATACCCCAAATCCAGTTTGTCTCCTGGTACACTCTGACAGAGCTCCCACCAACACAGAATCTGAATGCTTTTTGCTACATAGTGGAAAATATTCACCATCTGGGAGCAAAAAAGCCAGTACATGCCTGACCTAAAATATCCCCCATGCCAGGCTATTAAATAATCTCATAGACAAAGTGCTCACACAGCTTGATACCCCAGGGTGATGTGCCACCTTCCACAAAAGCAGATCAGAAAATAAGGAGTTTCTGTTCCATTGTCATTCTGACTCATATTATAAGGTCAATCAGAAGGGCATTTAACTTTTGACTGATAAGACAGCTGATTTTTAAATCTATCTCAGTGTAAAAAATGATTCTTAGTAACACAGATTTTCGGAACAGATGGGGCTATTATATTCATCTAGTCAGATCCTCTATACAATACAGACAATAGAATTTTACCAAGTAATTCCTGCATCAAGCCCACAGTTTCTGCTTCAGCTGAAAAAATGCCTAATCCCACAAAGACTTGAAGTGATGATGAATCTGCCATACATCTAGGTAAATTGCTCCAAAGGCTAATTATCATAATTATTTAAAATTTGCAATTTATTTCTCATCTGAATTTGTCTAGCTTTCAGATGCTGTTATAGCTTTCAGATGCTGTTATAACTCTGGTAGAACTAAGAACCCTCTGCGCTCAAAAGCCTCTCCTAATGCCTATGATTTTTCCATTATGAAGGCAGTTTTTGACATATCAACTAAACTTGAAACTAAGTTGACCAAACAGTAAATAAAACTGTAAGAACAAAAATACTCACCGATATCATGTTCAGTAGGGTTAAACACAGAATACTGAGGATGCAAAATGTATTTTTCTATTTCAAACTTTTGTGTTATGTCAGTTGTTCTATTAAAGATATGCTGACCCAGAACTACCGTAATAGTGGATTTGAGTGGACTGTAATACAAAAGAGAGAACAAGCAATTCTGTGATTAGGTGGCCAAACGAAACCTAATTTCCCATGGCTGTGTGTCCCATGAACTGTAATAACCTCAGCTCCATCACATCCATTATTTACCCTCTCATAATGCCTTGACCTGTTTCCCAGGCTTCCTACCTACTGTGGGCCAGGAAAAAGATGACTAATGTTACAGTGAGTCCCAGGTTCTGTGGGTCCTGATTAGCCTAATTAAAGGCTGCTGCTCCTTGACAGAAGTAAAAGGCAGGGACATGCACTGCTGCCCAGCTGCTGTCTGGCTAACAAGCATCTTCAGGGGCTGCAAGCACTTCTTGTTCTAGAAACCTAACTGAGTCAACTTCAGCCAGACTTTGCCAATGACTACAAAAATTACTGAGGAAGAAATGAGGGACCAAAAGATGAGTCAGTGGTGGATGTCATTTCTCTGGGAAACCAGGCTCTTAAAAATATTACAGGCGTGGGTCAAGATTTTAAAGGTGTTGGCAAACTGACAACTCAGGAACATTCGGGCAGCTTCCACCTAAGAGCTATCACCACTTCTGCTCTGAGATTAGATTGATCTATGTTAAATCTGTTGTCTAGAATCAAAAGCAACTTGGTGGAGGAAGGTCCCAACAGCACACTAATCTCATGGGAAAAAACACACTCAGAGGAGAATACAGTTTTTGTAATTCACACCATCTTTTACAGCCATTGTATGTTTACTTTAAAAAAGACCACAGTCCTCTCTTATCCAGTGTCCTAGGACAGACAACTAATAAGAACCAGTGCAACAGTTGGGAAGAAAGGGACATTTGGGAATAATCAGGAAGTGTTTGGAAAGACAGTAAATTCTCTAACTTTGAAACCAGGGGAATTCGAATTTCACTCTTGCTTTGAAACCAATTCAATCTGCATGTGCATGTCTACCATCAATTTACCAAGTGTCTTCACCATCAGAGCACTCATATGTTTTATTATCCAGTGCAGGAGCTGGAAATACCTGTTGTCACACATCATACACAGATGCAGAGTGGTCAACAACATTGCAGTTTCCCTAGCTGTGTTTCTGTGCATCAGTAGCACCCATCAGATACAAAAGCACTGTGGAGTCTCCTCCAGTCCTGAGCATGAAGCAATGATCAACAGTAATGTACTCAGAGGAAAGAGATTCTGGCTAATTGCAGCGCAGAGAGCCAGCAGCTACCCTGTAACAATAACTATGCTTATAATTAACAAAGGAAAGCACAAAGTTTATTTTTTTTGTGACTGGAAAACAAGGAGACAATAAAATATTCTCTGATCAATATGTAAGTGCAGGATTTTCTCAGTGTTCTTACAATGGTAAACCAATCCCCTTGAAAATCAGATTTGGGGCCTGTAAAACAGAGTGGAAGTTCGCTTCCCAGGATAGTATTTAGAATAGATTTTAAAGGCACGGAATGGTTCCATTATGACTTACAGGTGGTTCATTCAGGAAAAGAAATAAAACAGGAGGGGTTACAGAAAAGAAAAAAAAAAAACAAACCAAGTTAGCTGCACAGGTATCTATTGTCGCCTAGCGGAAAACAGTTGAAATTGTGGCTAACTCAGAGGTACTAAACATACAGAAGAGTGCAAATTACAATGCCGCAATTATGGAAAATCTGTATGTACCAAACCACCAGCTGGAAGTGGGTGGAAATGTCCTGAATAGCTGCCAAAGTTAGTAGCTATTTCACAACATTTGAAAAACAAATGCGTTGTGGCTCGAGCTCCAAATGCTTCAGTACAGCATTCACAATGGTATTATTAGCTCTACAAGCTACCAGTGTATGTATTCTGGCACAAGGTTTTATGTTTCTCTTGGCTTCTTTACTATGCAAAGGAACAATGGGTATGAAATGATGTAATATTTTTCCCATCAATGTGATCAAACTGAAATCAGGGAAAGTGTTCAGCATTTGTGGAAAATGAAATATTTAGAATGAAGTAAGAGCATCCTATAGTCAATATTCTCTCTGGTGTCCCACAGCTGGAGGACAAAAAAACTTCAAAAAATGCAAAACACCTCCCAAGGAAATCAGCCTCAAAAATTTAACAGTTCAGTTCTTCCCTTTGGTTTTTTGTAAAGCTCAGCCCACTCTATTTGTGTCAACCAAAATTAATTTATTGTCCCTAATAAATCATTGCTTGGCTGTCTCAGCCTTTTTGAACAAAACACAGCAATAAGCGTAGTCTGTTACACCTCAAAGCAGGCATAAATGTTCAAAAAGGTACCTGTGAAGAAGATAAATACTTATATTCCCTTGCAGATGCCTGCATGTGCAAGCTCCCATTCTATGTCCCACTCACCACTACCTTATTCCTTCAGTCAGGCAATTTAGCTTCTTTGAGACTCCTTAAGGAACAAGATAAAGGCTTGTGAGACAACAGGACTCCAAGCTATTTGTTAGCCCATCAACTGCACCCAAATTGCCAGAAACTCCTTTTGAAACATTGGACTTTAAAATCTCATCTTCTCTCTCACTTGTTTCAGTTCAGGTTTGTTGTGAGTCACAGGTAGACGGTGACTATGAGGAGGAGAGGACCTACCGTCAAACTAACGGGTGAGTTTACCTGTTAGCAAAGCAGTGTGCTGCTGACACGACCCAGCAAGTCTGAATAAGGCTTCCGCCACAGAAACTGTCTCCAATATAGATAGCTGCTGTCCAGGGATGAGATCCAGGCAGAGATGAAGATCCCCCAACAATCCTCGGTCTCACAAAACTTCTTTTTTTGTGTCTTCTCCCACATGGTCTTCTGATTACTGCAAAACTATCTACACTGTCTGGAACTGGTGGCCTCCTTTCCCTGCTTGCTGAGATATAAAGGGATATGGCATCAGACTATAAATCCTTGTGATTTCTAATGACTGGAACTGTTATAGGAGTCTTTAAAAGAAAGGCTTGTTAAATTATCATTAAACATTCACATAGAACTGAATCTCATTCAGTTCCTCAGGAGACTTGTAAGACTGAAAGCTATGCCTATTTCCAACACCAGCTACACATGTACTAGTGTAAATTAAATGCATCTATGAACATTCCCAGACACGGTTTCATTTACCAGTACAAATATAACCTTCACTGCTGGAGGAGGCACAACAGAATGCATGATACATCACATCTTCATTTTCAAATTCTGGACTGAGCTTTGCCATCACAATAGCAAGGACTAGGACGCTTGTGTTAATATCAAGTTAATATCAAATGCATTAGAACCATAAAAGGCAAATAAAAGGACCACTTTATAAACTGACTTTTCAGATTACAATTCTGTTCTAAAGGTCAGCTTCAACATTAACAATAATTAAATATTAATTTAGGGGAAGAGCAGAATCTTCAGTTTTTGGAATTAAATACTATGTCTCATACATCTTCAGGATCCCATCCTCTATTTGCTCACAGAGGCCCATTCACTTCTCTGGGCCCATAATTCCCTGAGTGTTGACTATTTGTACCAAGGCATCAATCATTTCTGACATCTTGCATGTTCTAGCAGAAAATTTGGTGATATTGGGATGATTTTGACTGAAAGCAGCAGTGTGACACCGCTGTTATACAGTGTTTCAGGACAAAAATCACAGATTGTATCACAACTCAAAAAAATGCAAAAAGCAGCTTGTTGTTGTCATTTGATTTACTGCAAACAGTAAAATATTCAACAGCAGAACATTCAAAATTATACAGTGAAAGCTTGTTCTAGTATCAATAAATCTTTCTTCATTCATTCATAACATGGATTTTAAGAGAGCCTTTACATACCACAAGATGGAATGTCACAGTACTCCCAAGACAAACTGTTGTCCTTCAGGATGTAACACCATGGTTTCTCATCATCATCTGGATTTCTAATTAATTCAGGGGGAGAGTGAATTACAAGCATTAACCAAGCTTCCCGGAGGTTTTCTGCTTTTTCCTCTGCACCATGCAGAGGACTGACAGGACTCTCAGGTTTTGAGCCATCTGACAAAGTGCTGAAGCACCTGCTAACCACTAAATGGGTGAACAGCCTTTCAGTAGCATTCTTCATGCTTAAAGCTAACCAAGTCTAAGGCTCTCTAGGACCTGAAATACAGACACATGACTAAACACCTGAAAAATTTGCCTACAAGTATTTGGATGCATGAGCATGTTCACATGGTTTAAATACAGCCCACACTGAAGTGCTTTAACAGATATCAGCTCAGCTATTTTCAGGACTAAATCCCATGGGAGAGATTCCTTTTTTAGATGATTTTTTTAAGCAAGGAAATTCCAACACAGGTAGATTCATAGAAAATCTGTAACAAGAATAGCTAGCAAAAAATGAATTTGAGAAGCTCAGGTTCACATTCCCTGGAGAGTCTGAGGAAATGAAAGACTACCTCAAAAAAATATTGTATTCCTCAAAAGGG